TGATTTAAACCATGTGTCTATGTTCTGCAAAATAGGCAGTGAAAGTCTCCTTCAAATTACATACAAGACATACAGTTTTAGTTTCATTGACCTAGAATCTTTTTATTAAAAAACAAAAAGGAAAATCAAAGGATTATTTTTCATTATGAACTGAAAAATCCAGTCAACAGCTGTATTAGAAGTCATGAAAAGTAAGGTTTTACTCTGACTTCCCAATATTTATAATACTTCAGAAAATGAGTATTAGATAAAAGAGGCAATTTGGTTCCACATGGTGAAATGTAACATAATAGAAGATCTCTAAAATGATAGAACCTAAAGTTGATAATATGATTAAGTTCTATCCTGCTTAGCATACTCAATAGATCACTGTAAAAGATAACAGTGGAATATGCTTGACAATTTTTCTAGAACAGTTGTAGGCTTGAACCTATATAAGCTAATTTCAATGTAAATATTAACATCTCTATAAAGCAGTATTTCTCAAAAGGGTGAAATTAAACAGAGTACCAACCAGTTTGCAGGTAACAGAAAATCCTTTTTGATCATTTGCTTCATTTATGTTTTAGGCACTTACACATTATACATGGATATCCAACAGCAGCAGAACACTAAAATAAAGCCAAAACTTATGGCTATTTTAAAAATACATGTTAAGCTTTCTTAATAACTAGCTTGACATAATAAAAAATAATGACACCACTTTAAAGCATTGCAATGTTTAAGGCATCCTAATTCTTATTGTCTAAAATGTATACCACACATGGCCATTAATCTCAAGGTGGCTCTAATCACCAAGCTCCAGCGAACACATAGAAATAACACAGTTCCCTGCATCACTAGCATTTTTTAAATGGCAGTGGTCCACTTTCTTTCCTTGGTCAAAAGGGGAAAAGAAGGACAGAAAAAGGGTAAGAGGGCCTTCTCTGTGGAGAAGATTTGGCCTTGGAGTCAGGGCTTTTGAGATATGCTAGTGATCTTGGATCGATGCCTTTTTATTTTCTTTCAGGGATAAATCTGAGCAATGGAATGGCTTGTGACTGTCCAGCCAACCAGCCATATCAGATTTATCAGAAAGAAAGAATGAAAACTGGCTCAGAGGACTCCTGCAGTGGCTGAGTGGCAGGTTGGGGGAAAGACACAAAAATAGAATATACTTAGTGGTAGAAGGGAAAATATATATTCACATGTGTAAACTCAATAAATAATAAGATATAAAAGAATCTATAGAAATAGAAAGATTGAATGCATAAGACAGATGATAAATAGTACTTCTATTAAGAACAAAAGGGATGAAAGCTCATGAATACTAAATATTTGAATCCACTTTGAGGAGGAAATATGATTTTTCCATCAAATGAATGCAAACTCTAAAAATCAGCCCACGCAAACTTACTGTGTTCAGGTTAGAATAAAAAATACATAAATCTTCCAGAAGTGAATGCCCTGGTAAATATTCTAATGTAATTTCTTAATTAAGACATATTTCCAGTGGCTAAATGAAAATATATATAAAGCAATGCCTTGAATTTCAACAAAATTTGATTTTCTATGCATGCACGATTAAAATACATAAAGACAGTTGAATGTTAGAGGAAAAAACCACAATGAGTAATGACATAACCGGAGTCATTCCATTTCATCTTAACAGTACATAATTACAGTATTTTCAAGTGATTTTCAGTTATAGTAGTAGGTATTAGTTTATTTAGAAATATTCTGAAGAAAAAAATAATATCTTTTACTAAAAAGCCCCCTTTTAGATATATATGAATTTCAAAATTAAAAGAAAAAAAAGGGAAATAGTGTACCCATGGATATGCCCACACAGTAAACACTTGTAAGAAAAAGGATTGATGCCTTTTTGAAAATGTATTTAACACCTTTTCATCACTCAACCAAGTATGACTAACATTTTTCTTCTCAAAAAAATATAAATTTGGAGATATAATGGTAAAATTCTAAACATATAGGAAAGATACATGTACTTTTATAGAATGAAAAGCAGGACTAAATTACTTGCAAATAGGAAATGGAAACTGAACTTTACATCACTTATCTATTAAGGTATATGAGAGTGCCACCTCAATACTACTGTATCTTTTATTTCAATATAAATGTAATATTGGTGACTCTCCATTATATGGGGAAGATAGAAATTTTAGAATCATTCCTTTGGGTGGTAAAGGTTTTATAATTGCCATATAAGAGGACTTTGGATATAATATTTCTAGATAAAATGCATCACTGATAATGGGGCAAAGTCCTTCAGACTTTCTAAAAAATTATCTTCTCTAAAGCTGATTTTTTTCCAAGCAAAAGAAGAAAAAATTTTTAAAAACAGAGGTCATCTTCCGCTACAATTATTTTAAGAAATATCTTAAAGATCTATACAATAGAATCCCCACCCTATATTTTTATTCTGCTCACATAGAGCAGTAAATAAGGTGCATTCCTTCTGCTTCTTAAGAAATTAGCATTTCAAAAATATGCCACTTTCCCCTGAACTCCAAGCGTGTCTAATAATGCGAGAAGCAGATTGTCTTCCCTCGTTTCCTTAATTTGTTTCATCTAAAAGCAATTCACTCAACATCTTGTCGCCCTCTGGCAGCTTAGTTTACTTATCCGCACTTAATTTCTCATTTGGACCAAAACAAACTCCTCCAAACTGCTACTGACTGCTAACCGCGAGAGGGGAGACGCGCAATATGTATTTACTTGGGAACACGCAGCCACACACATGCACAGCCCCAAACACACAGACGCTCACTCACACCCCAGACGGTAACTTGTTTTTATAATAGCACTACATGAAAACCAGCTGAACTTTCCCCGCCAGGTGCAGCAGGGTGGAGGTGGGGGAGGATGAAAAAAGAAGTCCCTGGGGGCATTTACAGTTTCCAATGGATCACCTTAGTATGCTTGTTGCAATTATACCAAGGATGCACCCGAGAGCTTTTCTTTGTGCGGCCCTTTCATCTAGATCACTTTGTGTTTTGAACAAGTGAGGCTCGCCTTTGTGCCCCCAGAATTTCAAGTACAGAGTCACACACGGAACAACAATGGCACGCTAATCCTCGCGCTCTAAATGGGCTCACTTGTGGGTCTGACAATTCGCCCGGGGAAAGGAGAAGAGACGAACGAGGGCGCGAGCTGGTGTCGCCTGAGACGAGGAAGAGGACAGCTGCAGAACTAATTTGGATTACATTCCTTGCAGAAATTCTGAAAAGGGCTTTTCGGCATAGCTCGACCCGCAGCCGCATAGTTAATACCAAATCGCTGCGGACTTGGAGGGGGTCCCCCAGTGGCAGGGGCTGAACCAGACAGCCCCCAGTAGGTCGCCTCGTAGAAATTCCTCCCGGCTAAGCCTGCATGTCGGTCGCCACTGCTTTTGAATGCGTCAATGTGCATAATCAACCCATTGAAGGAAAATATGAGGAGACGTGGAATACAGAGGGAGATAAAAAGAGATGTATCTAAGAGGCCGCTTGGAATGTCAAGTCCGTGCTGGTGTGATTCCGGAGGTGGCTGGAGCGCGGGACCTGGTATGCATGAAGAATTTCGGACTAATTGGGAGGGTGCAAACGGCCAGCACACGCGGCGTACATGTGCCATTCGAAGGTCATTTTGAAAGGCTCGATGATTGTAACTTGTTATTTACTAGGCGAGGAGGAGGAGGAGGCGGTGGCCACGGGGGCGGAGCGGGAAAACTACAGCGCGCTGTTTTCTTGGTGAGGTCAGAAGGACACCCTCCAGAGGCCTAAAGCTCTCCCTATCGCCACTGCCGGGGTCTTTATCACCTCAAGCAGCCTCCCAAGCTCCAGTCACCAGCCTTGGACGGTTCTGGAAATCTCCCTGGCTCTCCCAAAAGACCCCCCCGCTTGGCCGCGGCAGACACCGCTTCTCCTCAGTCCTTTCCTGTCCCGCTTTCATCCCCAGCAAACTTAAGTGTCAGAAACTTTGAGCTCCCTCGCACTGCAGGTGCTGTCCTTAGCCCTGCACGCCGGGACGCGCGGTCCCCACTGCGCTGCCTCTAGGGGTCATTTAGCCCTTTCCTGTCCAGGTATTCGGGGATCAAGTTCTCCAGCAAACAGTGGCCGCGCACTCGGCGCAGCCGCAGCGCCCGCCTCGGGTTCAATCTGCTCGCGCGACCGGCAGGCTCCGCAGCCCGGCCGGGCAGTGAACAGAGAAGTTGGAGGGACTCCGGCCAATAGCAAGTTGAACTACAGGAAGAACTCTTCCCGGAGCCAAACACGGCAACCGACGGGAAGGCTGGGCGTCGGGCTCAAATGTGCCAAGCAGTTGTTTTTTTTTTTTTTAAGAAGTCAGGCGGGCGAGCAAGCGCCTCTCAAGTCAATGGGGCGAGGGCTCCGGGACGCCGGCCGAGAAGGCCCAGAGTTCCGGGCCCGGGGCCGAGACGCGCCGGCCGCTGCACTGAGCTGCCCGGGCTTGGCTCGAGTCGCATCTGACCCCACCAGGCTCGGGCGACTTGGGGCGCTCCGGCCCGCGGCGGCACGCACAGGTGCAAAGCGCCGCTCCAGGAGCGCCACCCGCCACAGCCCTCCGGCTCGGGGAGAGGCCCGGCCCGCACCGCCCGGGACCCCAGCCCCGGTGACCGTTCCTCTGAGGCTTCTTGAGCCCTCAAGGGCCCAGACAGGAATCGCCACTAACTGGGGATGTGGCTCTCCCACGTCCCGAACAGGCGCGACCAGAAGGGATCCCGCTTAGTCTCACAGAAAACGCTCGAGAAAGGAAAATGGGGGGTTAAGTAGAGAGAAAGGGGACAGGGGCTCAGAGTAATGTTCACGATAAATAAAACGCACGCACACACAGATAAGTTGAGGGTGGAAAGAGGGGCGACCGAGAACCCACGGAGGAGGCTCGGGGCGAGTGGTCCCCGCACGCCACTCAGGACGGGCGAGGAGGGCAGGGGAGCCACTCCAGCCAGCCGAGCCGGCGGCCGCAGGTTCCACAACTGGAGCGCGCGCGGAGGAACCCACCTGACTGGGAAGCGCTGGGCTGGACGGTCCCCGCCGCCAGGAGAAGGCTCACCCAGACCCAAAGTCCTGTCGCCAGCTTCATTTTTTGGAAGTCTCAGATCCCGTGCTGACAATTACATGTCCAAATGGCATATCCCCCTTTCGGGCGCGCGGAGGAGATCCCCCAGCCAGGCGCGCGTGAGGGCGCGAGGGGGGCGGGCGCGGCGCGCGCGGGGCGCCGACTCCCACGGCGGGCGTCCGAGTCCGCGACCCGCCGCGGGTCCAGGGCCGGGCGCCGGAGGAGGGGCGGCTGCGCGCGAGTGCGAGCGCGTGTGGGAGTGTGCTCGAGCGTGTGCGCGTGTGCTCCGGCCGGACTGTGCAGCTATTTCCCCGAGTGAGCCTTCGCTTTCTCGCTCCCTCCTCACTTTCTCTCTCTCTCCCTGGTTGGTCAACAATAAAAAGGGAAAGGGGGGCAAAACAGGTTTCCAAAAAAAGTTGATTGCAAAGCGGGGGTAGGTTTCCGGCCTCTCCCCCCTCAGCCGGGCTATGTTCGGCTCCTTCTTCAGTTTCCTTGCACCTCCAGTCCAAATCGGGAGGGAAGGGGGGCGGGGGGAGCTTCTCGCTTCTCCCCGGATCCCGTCCTTCTTTTTCCTGTCAGCTTTCCTCACACTTGTCCGGCGGCTGCGGTAATTAAAGCTCCGAGCGTCATTTCTAACGCTCCGCGTTCTCCAGCTGCAGCCCCACAGAGAAATTAATAAGACTCCGGAAAAAGGGGGGGGGGTGGGAATAAAACAACCCTCCACGCAACCAGGCAGGCTCTGCTCAGCCGCGCAAACCCCGCCCCTGCTCTGACCCAGCTAGCCACGCCCTTCCCCCCAAAGAAAAATCTTATTGGCTCAGCCACTCCCCAAAATCCTAGGCCTCCGGAGTTGGGAAAACACCTGTCAGGGAGAGGGAACGGGATGGTGGGGGCGGGGGAAGCTGGATTTAAAGAGCTCACCCGAGGCCACGAACTGAAACACTGCTCTTCCCGCCCCGGCAGAGGCCTGGGACAGCTGGCCCGCCTAGTGGACAGACCACCAGAGAGATGCTTAAAGAAAATATTTTTTTTTTCAAACAAGAAAGCATTTTCTGTATTGTCCCACGGTGCCCTTCTACAGACAGGACTTTCTCTAGGAATAGAAGGAAAGTCAAGGTTGCTTCTGGCAAACCTCCCCTGCTCCCTCCCCAACACACACACACACACACACACACACACACACACACACACCACTTAGAAAGTACTTTAACCCTGTGTACAGTGACTTCTCCAATTATGCCTTCTCTCTCATTATTCCCGCACTCCCAAACTGACCGAGGTGGAGCTAAACTAAAAATCCACATTTGTAGAGCCACATACTTTGATTTTTAGATTTTATGTGTCTTTTCACCTTTTCCATAGACTTCAAGACAACTTGATTTGGGGTTCATTCTCATTAAACAGACCTGGTCTTAAATGACTAGAAATTGTCCCAAACCAAAAAGAATTTAAGGAGGTCATGTCAGAACCTTCTAAAATAACTGACCTTAAATGATTAGGCTTATTCCATAGGAAGCTTTAGGCCCCTTCCTTGTTCTCACTCTGGAAGTTCATATTCCCCAATCCCAAGGTCATTGCTAGCTATGGGAGACTTTGACCTTTTCTGAACCTAAAATATTCTGGGACTGGGTCGTATCAATGTACATATTCCTTGCCTTTTACAGCTGTGAAACTGCATCCCAGCAGGGGCCAGAATCTCCTGAGGGTAGTAGGTTATTGGTTTGCTATTTGCACAGGCATTCTATGTATGAATTATTTTCCTTTTTTGGTTTCTCTAGAAGCAGCAAATATATAAAAACCAAATTACTCTACCTCCTCAATGATCATTTGAGACCTTCCCTTTCCTCTCCTACTCTTTTATCTGTAGCTCTGTCCCTTAAGAATTTCCATGGAGCTGGGAACAGATTGGAACAGTAGAAGCCTGAAGCCTGAAGCCTTGCCTTTCTTAGACCCACAGCAAGTAACAGCCCCCATGAAGAGGCAAACAAGCTGACCATGCTATTTTACCAGAAGCAGCCTATGGTGGGGAGAAACTAAGCCTCATGCAGATGATGGTGACTTGACCAGAATGATCATGATTCCAGCAGAACCATGCTCTTTGGGATTATGTTTGTTTTCTATTTTTATACCCCACCTCTGATTTCTTTCCTTTCATTCAATCTCTTCTCATTTCTCTTTCCTTAAATCCTATTTGGTGTCTTATGATGACTTTCAGGTACCTCTACTCGTTAAAAACTACTTTTTAAAGCTTCCATTCTGTCCCTAGAGTAACAATTTAAGTGACAAACATGAACTTCTTGCTTTTGGAAAAGTTTAAGTCTCTGTATTTTTTTAAGTCTTGTTTCTGATGTCAGTTATGTTGCAGGAAGTGAATAAATGAATTGTGTACTTTGCTTTAAATTGTGGGGGAAAATTAAATGGTCTGAATATTTTGGATTTGGGATTTTTTCTAGTTATGTCTGTTGTAATAGTTTTACTCCCCCACCAATTTTATAGCTTTACTATCAAAGTATACACTGGTCTCACCCATATCTTCTAGAATAATTCTTGGCAAAGGAGGGCTTTCAATTAATATGCATTAGTTTTAAAAAGTATATTTTGTGTGGTAATTAGCGCACACAAGGTGTCCACCCATTAAATTATCCAATACACCCAAGATTTGGCTCTAATTCTCAGTTTGTTCTGCTTTGATGCCCATTTTCCTATTTCTAACATTTAAACAATGATTAGTAACTGGCCAACGATGGATATCTGACCTGCAGCCTACAAAATGAATTGACATCAAAGCTCTAACCAGCAGAAGCATCCTATATTTTGTGATGATTGGTCTATCCAATCAGATTCTAGCTCAAATAATTTGAATATAAAACCTAGAGATGTAGACAGGAAAATGGTATCCTATGTGGGCAAGCCAGACGATTAGAAAGTAGAAGCCATGAGATAGAGTCAAGAGTTAGCTCTTTCTGTGTCTACTCTCATTTGCTTCCCATCTCAACTGAGTCATTATAAGAAATGAACACCAGAGTAGGGGATATTTACTACCTGATGCAGAAAGAGCATGCTAACTAGATTGCTAGAGACCAAGGTGGATCTCTATATTTTTTCACTTTCCATATGTCTTGATAATAAATCTCTATCAGTTAACTAAAATGTGTTGCTGTTAGTTGCAACCTGAAAAAAATCTGAATAACCCAACATGTTACTTAGCAAACCATAAATGAACACCTGGACTATCTACTAAGTATCCTTCTTTAGAAACTGCTCTTCCCTCAGTTTTACATTTTCAACTTGGATCTACTTCCCTGTTACAACCACCTCTCACTCTCTGGCTCTGCGTTGGACCACTCAAAATACCAAGTTGGACCAATCAAAATGCCTTGGTCACTGTTAAATTAATTGGATGGGAGATAGTCCCACTAAGTCCCTTATCTGAGATTTTTGTGCATGAAATATAGAGTTCTTATCTAGTCTTTCACTGATAGCTTTTGAGATTTAAAACTCCAGAACTGGACTGTCTATGTTCCCTTCTATGTAGGGATGACCAGGTTGCAGTGAGAAAGAATAAAGTTGCTATTTGAAAGAAGCAAAAGCCCAGATGGGTCTGGAGAGTATGCAAGCTCTTCCTGTGGCTTAGTTGTTCACAGGCCCTTTTTCCTGAAACTAGTACAATTTTCCTTTTTGTTACCTGAAACCAGAACAGTGTGAAATGAGGAAAATCTTGTCCAACTTGAGTGAGATCATATAAACCATCATGCCTCTTGAGAAAAATATTCTGCTATGGCCCATATTCTTCAGTTTCCCTTCCTGGTCTCTCATGATTTTCTTTGGCTGGAGCCATAACCCCAACATAGAGATGGCTTTGTCCTGTGCTGCTTTCCCATATGCCCTTCTCCACTTTATTTCTTCCATTAGTAATAGAATTCAAGGAGATTCTTGACATAATGAGTGGCAAAATGTTGCTGTTGGGAAAAAAAGAAGACATTGAACTCAGAGTTCAGTGTTGAATTTGATCCCTAACTTTGTTGCAGAGTCTCATAGTTCATCCAGTCTTCAACTTGTTTTTAACACTTCCCTAAAGGTCAGATTAGAGCTTGCTGCTTTAAATATTTTGCCATTGGCCATACATATAAATTTGGGACATATATCAATTAAGAAAGGAAAATGGGTACTCTATCATAAATCAATTATCTTCTTGTGAATATTTAAAAATACAGAAAAATTCTAATTTTATTTCTTGTGCATCATCATCTTCCTCTTCATCTAAATTATCTTGTGATCATGAGCAACTGACTTCACACACTTGTGCCCATTTCTTGTTTTTAATGGGAGGAGTTGTTACAACCCAAATCTAAGACTTTATGAGTCTATGATTTACCCTTCACCTACTAAGTGCAAGTCTTAACTTTCATACACTTAATTCCCTCATATTCCTTCTTCTTTACTCCCACTCCCACATACACATCTCTTCATCTGGGCCACCAACACAGACACATCTTAAATTACTAGTCTTAGTCATCTCATGCTGCTATAACAAATACCATAGGTGATTTAAACAACAAACACTTATTTTTCACAGTTCTGGATACTGAGAAGTCCAAGATGAAGTTTCTGGTCAATTCTTTTCATGCTGAGGGCCCTCTTCTGGTTTGTAGATGTACTCCTTCTTGCTGTATCTTCACATGGCAGAGAGAAAAATCATCTCTCCCCTGTCTCTTTTGATAAGGTCATTAATCTCATTCATGAGGCGTCCACCCTCATGGCATAATTATTAAATATCAAAACCCTGTCTCCAAATACATTGAGAATGAGGGCTTCAGCATATGCATTTAGGGACACACAAACATTCAGTCCATAGGACTTCCTTAGGAAAATATCCATATAAGCTTATTACTATATTATTATGAAGTATTCAACACTTTGGATCTTTACTCTTCTTTCAGCTAAAAAGAAACTGTAGTAAATACCAAGCAGGTTCAGTATTAATATGAGCAAGCAGATGACAGACACAGTGTTGGTGACTTTTATTGGTTTGTTTGTTGCTTAACTTAGCACTTGAAATAACACTTTTCCTCCTAACCCCTGAGTTCTGGAATTCTCTGATATTTGGTGACATTAAATATTTCAAGGCCAAATTAAAAAAAAACTATAAAAATTCAAACATTTTTAAATGCGTGAATAAACATTAAATAAAAAACTGTTTTGTTATCAAGTTAACTTAATATGCAAGGAGACCTTCCCAAGAATATTTTACTTTTGGTTAGTAAATGTTGTTTTCTTTCTATTTGCATGATTAAGCCTTAATTTTTTAAGTGCTAAGGAGGAGTAAGTGAACATAAATCAATCAAATCTGTTTTGCTTTTATCTCCACTCATTGGTGTCTATCCAAGTTCTTATAGACAGTTTTGATTTATAGCTGAAACTGCAAAACAATTTCATCCCTGTGGATAGAGTAGTATTTTCCAAAAAATGTACATAAAAATTATTTTTTTCTAGTAAAATCTTCTTTTGTTTCATATTCTCTTTATATATTTTCTTAAACTGTGGTTTTTCCATGTAGCTTTTTTCTATTGTTTTGTAATCTTGAAGACAAAGTAAACCTTGAATAGCAGTTACCAATTAAAACTTAAAAAGGAAAGGGACATTTCTATTTTTGCATGTCAATATATCTATAAATTAGTTATATTTAGGTTACTTATTAGTTATTTATTGAAGCTATGAAGTTTGATGTTACTTGTTGAGGCATGGCCTGAAATCTGTA